TTTTTTTTCGAATGCATCGTATTTCGAATGATTGTTGTTTGTTTGCGGTTTGTTTCGAGCGATTTTTTGTGCAAATTTAAAAGGAGATATACAAATTTTTAGAAATGAGTATGCAATGCGAATTGTTTAGTGTTTGGGATTGATTGGTTTAATGGATTTGATGGGGTGAATTGGCGATTTTTAATGCGTTAAACTGAGGTATCATAAGGTGATTGTAAAAGGAATTGATTTGCATTTTGTGAACATTTTTGCATTTTTCTAGAGCAAGGCTCACCGGCTACTCAATCGTCGGGTAAACTTCAACTGCAACGAGTCGTTTCGAGATGCAGTTGTCAGATTTATTTTTGTTACTTCACAGATACACTCGACATCGATACACATAATATGCCGTTACCGGTTAGTGGATTTGAGCACGGCAGTTTTGTGGTTTCATATGAGAATTTTGGGCGATTTGATTTTGTTTCAATGGATTTCAGTTTTTGATTAAATAAGATTAGAGCAGGATTGACTGGTTCGTTTCGTGGAATGTTTCAATATGGTTTGTTTGAATTTTCAGATGGCTGATTTGGGTGATGAACACATTTGGGGTCAACGCGAACCAGTTGATTGTTTCACGTTGAAGCATAATATGCTCGAAGTTCGTTTGCAAGCAATTTATTCTGATTTTAGTTTTTCATTTGTTTTTTCTTAATGATAATAATGACGAAAAATGTGATTATTTCAATCCGTTTCTAAATCGTATGAAATCAGTTGATTGACGTGAATGCATGCAATAAGTATTTGATGCGAGTTTCTGATAAGAACAATACTCTTTATTGTCTCCATTGTATTCAGTTTATACGATTCATTAGAGTATGGCTCTTATTATATTGAAGCATGCTTTAATTCAAAAGCGAAACGTTATTCATACTGTTTGATATCCGTTTGATCGTCTGGTCGTTTAGAACTGTAAATCTGCATCATTTCATCGAATATCTTAGCATTCGCATATTGGAATGCATACGAGCACAAATTTTTGAGTTATCGCGTTCCAGTGTTGTTATTTGTCTTGTTATTCAATCTTTTTTGTTGTTATTTAGATTGTTTGAATTATGAAAATGGCATGCAAAAATACCAGTGAGCAAATTGATAGATATCATTTTTGAGATACAAGTTGCAGCAATGAATAGCTAGTTGTTTTCTGTGTTTTGTCAATTGAATGCTTATGAATTGAGTTATCAGTAAAAGTAATTGATGTGATTAAAGGTGAGCACAAATCCACAACAGTACGAAATGGTAATGAATATAATCAATCAGTTGGTATTGTTCGTTGATCCACGAAAGAAGGAAATGGACGGGCGTAGACAGCGATTGCGATTCCAATGGCTTACGAAAAGTGCCGACGAGGTGAA